AATTAATTTCAACTTTATTTTTTTTATCTTTAATAATATTAAGTAATTATTATATTTTTATTTTTACATTAATTTATTTAAAAAATATATTAAGTTAATGAATAAAAGTTACTAATTAAACAAAAAATTAAAATTTTTTGTACTTTATTTAAAACTAATTTAATTTTTTATTAAAAATAAAAATTAGTGTATATTACACTATTATAATTAATTAATTAATTATTTTTTAAATCAAATTAATAATTTTAATAATAAAAAATATATAAAAAATATATAAAAAATATATTTAATTGTTTTTAAACATATTCTTATCATTTATTTAATTTTAAATAACAACTACTAATTATTGTATAACCAAATAGTTATATTAATCAAATCTACTATCTATTATCTACTTTTCACTATTTACCACCCATTATCACTACCGTTATTCACTATCCGTTACTTATTATTTATTATTTACTAAATTTAAATCGTTAAACCAAATAAGCACTTAGTATGATTTCTTAACGATGAAAACTCATTATAAATTACTATATATATATATATATATAACTCATTATAAATTTTATAATCCCTACATAATATTAAATGAACAAATGTATATAAAATCATATATTTTACTTTGAACTTAAACAACTAACAAGAATTGGTAGGTTATGCTTATGTACGATTTCATCAGCAATGAAGTATTTATGAAGTTGAGGATTGAACTATTGTTATCGTAACTGATTGTTGGAATTCATGCGCTTATCCAATGCAGCCATCGCTACAAGCATGTCACTTGGACTTGTTTAACTACACTTTGTACGGACTTTCTTTACACATTATTTTTATTTAAAAAATGTTATTTATTATTTTTAATTAATTTTAAATTATTATTTTATATATTTATTTTAATTAATATTTTATGTATTTTTAGATTTAGAAAATGATTTAAAAAAAACATTAGAGTTACAACAAATACAATATTAATAAATGAAGCCAAGTTTTCACTATTTTAATTTTATTGTGAATTATACATATATAATTGATCTTTGGCCTAAAATACTAGGTACTCTTTCTAGTGTTAAATTTATTATATTTAATTTAAATTTTTTTTATACAATTCAATTTAAAATTCTTAAGCTAAAATTGTTAGGATATTAGTCAAATGTACCATATAGCAGGGAAACCATTAGCAATGTAGTAAAAAATTTTGCTGTTTTTCCCTAAGAAGAAGCCAATTATAATCATATATGCTGCTCAAAGGATTGCTAGGCTCTATAAGATTAAGTTGTGCTATTGTACAATTTTGATGTAATATTAAATAAACAATTATTATTATTATTAATTATTTAAGTAATTTTATAATTATTTTTTTATAAAAACAAAATGTTTTTATATTCAAATTATGTCCTATACAGGTAAGTAAATTAAGAAATTAAAAAAAAATCCCTCAATCCCACCTTAATCTACCATGAAATTTAGAAAATATAAGAAAATAATTAAAAAATATGGTATCCCAAACCTTTACGTAACACCTGAAGGTATTAACATTGACAACTACTCTAGGAGAAGATAACTTGAGAAGAATAAATCAAATCATTTTGGTGGAACATAAAATACAAAATTCACTTATCCTACATTCAGATTTCCTGTAAATAAGTTGAATAAAATGGATGTTTTTATTATTTTATTATTTTTATTTTTTGGGGTTCTATTTCGAACAAAAGCACCTCCTATCAGGTATGATAAGAAATGTTCCCAAATACGCCACGCGCGGACAAACCTACCTAATAATGTTCGAAGATATCTTTGACAGTGGGTCCCCGTCTAGATGGACATCTCCATCATTATTCTCTAGCCACGTGTTCTTTCACTAATCTGCCGGAATCTCTCGCTCTCCAGATCTGAGCGAAACACTCAATCATTTCCCCACCCGAAGAGAAAAGAACAAATAACAACAAAATTAAATTACAGGTGAATTCACGTACTATAATTTTTTGTAATTAAAAAATATTTTTAAATTTAAATTATATTGAATTATAAAATAATATATATTTTTTAAAAATA